CCGCTTTCGGGTGTTGTTAACTTAACATACACACCCGCAGCGGTTCGCATGAACGGGGTGCGATTCTGATGCGGTGTGGAATGCGCACAGAAAATGCTACAAATTCCGGACCACATCACTGTGAACCCGGGCTAAAACAGGAAACCAGGGGCAACAGTCATGGCACCAGCTTAAACTGGAACATAAGCAAAGATTAAAAGATAAAGAATCTGCATATTCAGTAAATGATTACATCAGTCATTACAAAACTGAGGGAGCAATACCACTTTAAGGCCCCATTCACACCATATTCCTGGGCAGGAAAAAATCTGCAGGTGACACTAGTGCTGTGGTGTGAACAGGGCACATAGAGAACAATAGGTTTTTTTTTGTGCACTTGCAGAACACATGCAGAAAAACGGATGCACCGTGGTGTGAACAAGGGCTAAAGTGGTAGTAAACTCCGCTTGGTTACTTGTACCTACAGGAAAGAATATAATAAAGCTTCCATGTAGGTAATATGAGCATCTCCTAAATATGCATAGTTTAGGAGATATTCACATGTTTTGCAGTTGAGAGCATAGGGAATGTGCCGCCAATCCAGAGCTCTATGCCGTGGTTCGGTATGTCAGGGAGTGATGTCATTGTGGCTTGCTCATTCAAATGGCCGGAGCCCACAAACTGACATGGAAGACCGGTCAGCGGTTATAGCACCCCACTGAAGTAACTCTGTGGTGTCAGTGGAAGGAATAGTGCCCCATCATTGGTATTAAAGGGAGGAATAGTGCCCCAATGTTGGTGTCAGTGGGAGGAATAGTTTCCCAGTGTTGGTGTCAGTGGGAGGAATAGTTTCCCAGTGTTGGTGTCAGTGGGAGGAATAGTTCCCCAGTGTTGGTGTCAGTGGGAGGAATAGTTCCCCAGTGTTGGTGTCAGTGGGAGGAATAGTTTCCCAGTATTGGTGTCAGTGGGAGGAATAGTTTCCCAGTGTTGGTGTCAGTAGGAGGAATAGTTTCCCAGTGTTGGAGTCAGTGGGAGGAATAGTTTCCCAGTGTTGGTGTCAGTGGGAGGAATAGTTCCCCATCATTGGTATCAGTGGGAGGAATAGTGCCCCATCATTGGTATCAGTGGGAGGAATAGTTTCCCAGTGTTGGTGTCAGTGGGAGGAATAGTTCCCCATCATTGGTATCAGTGGGAGGAATAATTCTCCAGTGTTGGATTTAGAAGAAATAGTGCTCCTCTGTCTGCGTCAGTGGGAGAATTAGTCTTTCATCATAGATTTTTCACTCTCAGGAAGTCACGTGGATCGTGACGTAAACGCATTAAGGTACGCACTGACATCATTTCGGGTGGCGCGGTGATGTCATTTCCGGCGTCGCCGCCATTTCTGGAGGGATTGTGGAGCAAGTGGAGCTGCATGCATTTCTTAGCATGAGAACCATGGAAACACACCCATGATATGGGGAAAAGCTGATCTTTGTCATTTTCCATGTGAGTGGGCATTTTATATTCATTCATGTTATTATTAAAACTGGATTACACTATGGAGGATCTTCTTTGTTTTTAATGGTATCTTAAACGGTTTTTGTGGAATCGAGTACCTAGGAGATAGGAGAAGATATTGGAGGGATCTATCCATACGTTCCATCCTTTGATGATACCTTATTGAGTGTATAAGGTTACCTACATAGCTGTTTGGCCCAGTGGGTCGCATCAAGGAGGTGAGGGGGCATCTTGGCCATCTGTGGATTGACCGCACACTGAGTGGCACTGTGATCACCTCACGGAGTTTTTACCATCATTGGCATTTATGGACTGCTGCACATAGTATTCATTTTATGCGCACCTAACACTGAATATTTATTGTGCATTCTATATGTGATATTTCCATTTATCTCATTTGTATTTTAGTATAGGTTGTTAGCGCTGCACTATTTTTTGTATTTTTAGTGTTTCATCATAGGTTGTCAGTAGGAGGAACAGTGCCCCAAGGGGCAGATAAAGACAAGCAAAGGGACTGCATTTGACCCAGTGGGCCGAAGTTTGGAGACCACTGATCTAAATACATTCATCATATGTATGTATTGTTCTTGAATCTTCGTGTGCCTTGTGTATTTCTTTGCAGTAATCCAGTGAGCAGAGAGAGGACTAAGTGTGTTGCTTCCCTTTCATTGTCCAATCACCAAGCAACAGAAATTAATTAGAGATGAGCGGGCAATTTTGTTGTAAAGAGAGTAAATAGTAGTCTCTAGTTTTGCTGTGGCATTGCTAAAAATAAATGAATCTCAGCGCTGTGTGACAATGGCTTTGTTAACCACTTGGCCCCCGTACTAACCAGGCCATTTTTTGCGATATGGCTTTACTTTAACTGACAATTGCGCTGTCATGCAACGCTGCACCCAAATTCAGTTTTTGTCCTTTTTTCACACAATTAGAGCCTTGTTTTGGTGGTATTTGATCACTTCTGCATTTTTTATTTTTTGCGCTTTAAACAAAAAAAAGACCGACAATTTTGAAAAAAAAAGCAATAGTTTTGACTTTTTACTATAAAACATGTCCAGTAAAAAAAAATGTTGAAATTACATTTCGTCATAAATTTAGGCCAAAGTGTATTCTGCTCTATGTCTTTGCCAAAAACAAAATCCCGATACATGTACATTAATTGGTTTATGTGAAACTTATAATGTTTACAAATGGCGGTATAGATACTGGAATTTTTTTTTTATACTAGTAATGGTGGCAATCAGCGATTTATAGCAAGCCTGTGGCAGGTATTCTGACACTGGGGGGAACTGACTGTCACTGACATCCCCAGTGACACTAACACAGTGATCAGTGCTAATAAAAAGCTGTGTGCTGATTTACTATTGTGTATGTGTGTGTTGTACTGTGTCAGCGCATTGCTTTGTATTGCTCTACAATACAAAGTAGTGTGCAGGAGCTGAAGGGAGAGATCTGTATTATTTACATACGGACCTCTCCCCCATCAGTAATACTTGGCGATCGCCAGGTGCCGGCGGAGGATCACCGACTGGGACCTGGTGATCGACAGCTGAGGCAATAGCAAATGCAAAATCACGTATATATATACGTGATTTTGTGCAGCCGTACCACCCTGTAGCAGTATTTCTGCTTTAGGGCGGCTGACAAATAGTTAAGGAGCACAATACAATACAAAAATGAGCTGCATGGCCGAGTTGCCAGAAAGATGCCTGTACTGTGCCCATGCCACAAAAAGCCGGTTACAATATTCCCGACAACACCTTGACATGCCTCAAAGCTTCTGACACATTGTAATCTGGAGTGACGAGACCAAAATAGGGATATATGGTCACAACCATACACGCTATGATTGGAGAGGGGTCAACAAAGTCTTTAATGACAAGAACACCAACCACATTGTGAAGCATTTTGGTGGCTCAGGGTGTGTGATCTCTAAAGCCATGGGAATCTTCTATATCGTAAGCTCTACTGAGCAGGGCCCTCTGTTTCCTCTCGTACCAAATTGTATTGCAACTGTAATGTCTGCCTTCATTTTGTAAAGCGCTGCGCAAATTATTGATAAAAGAGATAATCCCCCTGCGCTCCACTGGTATTGATATTATTATTATTATTATTATTATACAGCAGGGGCGAACTGACCATTCGAGCACTCGGGCATTGCCCGAGGGCCCGGGGTCAGTAGGGGGCCCCATGAAATGCCCCTGGTATCTTTTTTATAGGCTTTTTTGAGTGTGGGCAAGGACACAGGGGCCCCATGATCCTCTATTGCCCGGGGGCCCCATGAGTTGTCAGTCCACCCCTGTTATACAGTATATATATATAGCGCTAAAAGGTTTGCTCAGCGCTGTACATTATAGTGGGGAAAGTACATGAGACAATACAGTAACAAATCAGAACACGAGGGATTCAAGGGCCCTGCTCTTTCGAGCTTACAATCTAGGAGATAAACAGTAAATAATAAATGCAAGCAGCTATCACCTATTACCTTATACCTGAGGATACACAATATATAACAATGTTGGTGAAGCACTACGCATATTCAACAATCAACAAGTATATCCACAATCATATATAACTACATATATAAATAGATCACTAAAAATAATAGACAAACCATGCATGTAAATGACATATAATTATCTGGATGGTGCTTCTAGATCATGCTTAAAATAAAGGATATCCGGTGATAAAGTGCAAAAAGATCAATCAATGAATGACCTATGAACAATGTGCCAGAAAAGGGGACCCTCAGCAGGGTAAAAACGGATAAAGGGATATAATATCACACTCTATTGTACAGTGACAAGTGCTCAGGCTGCAAATACAATAAATATATGCATCTATACAGCAAAGTGATAATTCAAAAGTCCACAAATAGGTGCAAAATAAGTGCAATGATGTGCAAAATAAGACAATAGTAGTGCTTCAATTTTCCACTCCAAACATGATGCGTGCTTGTGTGACACACGCGTGTATCACTATCCCAAAATGGCTAGAGTGCCTCCTCACCTCCTCACGGCGACCCCGAGGGGCCACAACACTTTTAAGCAATAAATTGCTCCACAGCACTGGGGATCACAGGTAACTGGCTCCTATGTTTCCAGTCAGCCTCCACTGATCAATCGATTTCCCCTCAGATGATGGTCACAGAGTTAGGCCATAGAGAGGAAGACAAAGAGAGCCTCCATAGTGTAATATGTTTTATTTATGTAGCAGATAGGTAAGCCAAAATAAGGGGACACTCGCGTAAGCAGGTACAGTCCAGCAGTTTCCCATATGCTGTGGGTGTGCTGCAGGTCCCTGGGTGTCCAAACATGGCGTCTACCGGAAATACGTCACTGCGCTCTACGCGTTACTGCACGATACCACGTGGCTTCGTCAGGATCTGCGCAAATTACCGTATTTTTCGCTCCATAAGACGCACCTGACCATAAGACGCACCTAGGTTTTAGAGTGAAAAACAAGGAAAAAAAAATATTCTGAACCAATGGACTGCAGACACAGTACAGGGGATGACCAGAGACTGCGGACATAGTACAGGAGATGACCAGAGACTGCGGACATAGTACAGGAGATGACCAGAGACTGCGGACAAAGTACAGGGGATGACCAAGAGACTGCGGACATAGTACAGGGGATGACCAGAGACTGCGGACATAGTACAGGAGATGACCAGAGACTGTGGACACAGTACAGGGGATGACCAGAGACTGCGGACACAGTGCAGGAGATGACCAGAGACTGCGGACATAGTACAGGGGATGACCAAGAGACTGCGGACACAGTACAGGAGATGACCAGAGGCTGCGGACACAGTGCAGGAGATGACCAGAGACTGCGGACACAGTGCAGGAGAAGACCAGAGACTGCGGACACAGTGCAGGAGATGACCAGAGACTGCGGACACAGTGCAGGGGATGACCAGAGACTGCGGACAGTACAGGGAATGAACAGAGACTGCGGACAGTGCAGGTAATGACCAGAGACTGCGGGCAGTGCAGGGAATGACCAGAGACTGCGGACAGTGCAGGGAATGACCAGAGACTGCAGACAGTGCAGGGGATGACCAGAGACTGCAGACAGTGCAGGGAATGACCAGAGACTGCAGACAGTGTAGAGAATGACCAGAGACTGCAGACAGTGCAGGGGACGACCAGAGACTGCAGACAGTGCAGGGAATGACCAGAGACTGCAGACAGTGAAGGGAATGACCAGAGACTGTGGACCTTTGGGGAGGGAGGGGGAGCGGGTACCTGAATTTGACAGGTACCCGCTCCCACTTCCGCGGAGTTGCCTTCCCTCTTCTTCCCGGGCCGGCTTCTGTGACAGCCGGGTGCCCACTGCGCATGTGCGAGAAGCGCTGCGCTTTGTGAATGGCCCGGCGCCTTCTGGGACCTTTCATGTGTCCCAGAAGACACCGGATCATTCACAAAGAGCAGCACATGCGCAGTGGGCACCCGGCTGTCACAGAAGCCAGCGCGGGAAGACTGTGCAGCGCTGGAGCGAGGAACAGGTAAGGCCCTGCAGGAGAGAACAGCTGAGCGGCCGGCCCGGTATTCTGACATGGTGGCGGCAGAAATATCGGACCGGCCGCTTTATATTCGCTCCATAAGACGCACTGACATTTTCCCCCCTTTTTTGGGGGGAAAAAAGTGCGTCTTATGGAGCGAAAAATACGGTATTGGCCCTATATAAATCTCGTACAATAATAATAATTCAGCTTGTAATCAGACTTTTCAGCATGACAATGACCCTAGACAGAAGGCCAAGTTGACCTTTTAGTGGTTACAGCAGAAAAAAGGTGAAGGTTCTGCTTTGGCCATCACAGCCTCCTGACCTCAATATAATCGAGTCACTCTGGGGAGATCTGAAACGTGCGGTTCATGCAAGACAACCAAAGACTTTGTATGACCTGAGGGCATTTTGCCAAGACAAATGGGCAGCTCTACCACCTGCAAGAATTCAAGGCCTCATAGACAACTATTACAAAAGACTGCTCTCTGTCATTGATGCTAAAGGCGGTAACACAGAGTATTAACCACTTCCAGTCCGGACACTGTCACCCCCTTCCTGTCCAGGCCAATTTTCAGCTTTCAGCGCTATCACACTTTGAATGACAATTGTGCGGTCATGCAACACTGTACCCATATGAATTTTTTACCATTTTTTTGAGACAGATAAAGCTTTATTTTGGTGATATTTATTCACCGCCGGGATTTTTATTTTTTTTGCTATGTAAATTAAAAAGTCCAAAAACTTTGAAAAAAAGTGTTTTTTCTTATAAAATGTTGCAAATAAATAATCTTTCATCATAAATCTTGACCAAAATGTATTCCATTATATTTTTAGTAAAAAAAATAAAAATAAGCCAAATTAGTTTATAACCAAAAATTATAATTTTTAAACATTTTTTTACATTTTTATTTTTCTTTTTATATTATTATTTATGTTTTTTTTTTTTTTACATACTGTCACCCTAGCAGTACAGTGTCACCATGGTGACACTGTACTACTTGTGGGGGGTGATGAAGATTTTTTTTTTTTTTTTTACAGTGATTGCTTTTACACCCATATAGGATGTAAAAGCAATCATTTCTCTTTCTCTCTGTCTGCATTCTTGCAGTCATTGAGAAATACTGAGTGAGTTGTGATTGGTCACACCTTGTTACATGGTACAAGGCTGTTGTGAATAGCCTTGTACCATGTGACCTCTGTGATCATTCACAGATTTCACACGTAGTAAGCAATGATGTCACAAGTGACATCTTGCTTACTACTTTGCATGTGATCACTGATTGGCCAATCAGTGATCACATGATCGGGACCTCGTACAGAGGTCCCATCCAACGATCGGTGTTTCACTGTGTCCGGAGGACACAGCGGGCACCGGATCACGGTGCCGCGCGCTCCCAGGGAGTGCGCACAGCTAGAAAAGGCGGGTGCCGTTTATGAACGTCAACCCGCCCCTGGACTGCCACCGTCCTGCCGTTTATAAACAGCAAGCGGACGGCAAGTGGTTAAGGGGATGCAGACTTTTGAACATGGAGCATTTTATTGGTTTATTTGTTGCCATGTTTTGTTTTATGATTGGGCCATTCTGTTATAACCTACAGTTACAGAATATGGATCCCATAACAAATGTGTTTTGCCTGCTTACTCATGTTTTCTTTAACCCCCGCCCTCCTGAGGATTTCCCCCCCTTCCTGACCAGGCCATTTTTTGTGTTACGGCGCTGCCTACTTTAACTGACAATTGCTCGGTCATGCAACGCTGCACCCAAATGAAATTTATGGCCTTTTTTCCCACTAATTGAGCTTTCTTTTGATGGTTTGTGATCGCCTCTGCGTTTTTTATTTTTTGTGCTATAAAAAAAAAAGACTGTCAATTTTGATTAAAAAACTAGATTTTGGACTTTTTGCTATTAAACACGTCCAGTAAAAGAATTTAAAAAATCAAATTTCGTCATAAATTTAGGCCATAATGGTTACTGCTACATGTCTTTGCTGAAAAAAATCCCAATACATGTAAATTAATTGTAAAAGTAATGCAGCGCCGTAACGCAAAAAATGGCCTGTTCAGGAAGGGGGGATAAATTCTCTGGATGGCAAATGGTTAAATTGCGTTTAGGTGCTTTTGAGTGTTTTTATGCTCAAAAGCTCCTCTCCTGAATGCACAAGTTTTCTTTTTTTTTTTGCTCTAGTCACCTCTAAACTCTTATGTGTGCATGAACACATATGTTAAAATGGATTGGAATTAGAGGCAAAAAAACCCTGAAACGCCTGTAAGGCCCCATTCACATCTGGTGATTTGGGATCATGGGCAGAATTAAGCCGGCTCCAGATTGCAGCAAACCACATCGCACAAAGCTTGTTGACCAAAAAGGTGCAGGAGCAAACCGCATTACACAACAATTGCGGAAAACCCGCACCACGTTTGAGGTGTCATTAAAAGAGAATGGCAATTAAACACACGTGGTGCATTTTGCCACTATTGTAGTGCACTTTGGAATCGTGGGCAGAATCGTCTTTGAGCTCAAATGTGCATGAGGCCTTTGGAGGCGCATACAGCTCAGATAATGTATTGCAGTACCTGTGATTCAGTTTGTTCTGCTCCCTGCAATCTCCTAAGTCTAGGTTCACACCTATGCAGGATGCGTTTGATGCATTTCTGCATTGCATTTTGCATTTTTGCACTTGCGTTTTTTGATGCATTTTGCAGTTTGCAGGAGGGGGGGTCATTTTAAAAAAAAATTTTGTTGCTAGGCAGATTTTAAATGCCAAAACACATAAAAAAATGTATCAAAAACACAGCAAAAACGCAATACATGCTTTTCTGCAGCATTCCCTTTGTAGTCTATAGAACAGAAAAACTCAACATTTTACGTTAAAAAAAGTCCCTGACCCTTTCCAAAAAATGCAACGGGTGAAAACGAGGAGATGTGAACCTGTCCTATAGGAAATCATGTTAAGTGGACTGTACTGTGTTTCTGCAAAATGCTGCAGAAAATGCTTAGGTGTGAACCGAGGGTAAAACTCTGTACTGGACACTAAAGTTGATTGTCATTGAAGAACCAATTGTAGGAGAATACAGAACACAGTCATTGAACCCTTACCTTCTTCACTCTTTACACATGTTGTACCAGCTTTCTTGTGTCTCCTCTCCTGTGTCTCCTCTCCTGAGTCTCCTCTCCTGTGTCTCCTCTCCTGAGTCTCCACTGAGTCTCCTGAGTCTCTCTCTCCTGTGTCTCCTCTCCTGAGTCTCCTCTCCTGAGTCTCCTCTCCTGAGTCTCCTCTCCTGTGTCTCCTCTCCTGAGTCTCCTCTCCTGTGTCTTCTCTCCTGTGTCTCTCTCCTGAGTCTCCTCTCCTGAGTCTTCTCTCCTGTGTCTTCTCTCCTCAGTCTCCTCTCCTGTGTCTCCTCTCCTCAGTCTCCTCTCGAGTCTCCTCTCCTGAGTCTGCTCTCCTGAGTCTCCTCTCCTGTGTCTCCTCTCCTCAGTGTCCTCTCCTCAGTCTCCTCACCTGAGTCTCCTCACCTGAGTCTCCTCTCCTGTGTCTTCTCTCCTCAGTCTCCTCTCAGCCTTATCTTTCCTAAAGGATATGCAGTGCCAGCAAAGTCCTGAAAAACACAAACAGGTAGAGCATTGAATCTGTCCATACATTGAAATTTTTTTAATTAATCAGCATACGATAACAATTACATTACCTGCCCCCCCCAAAAAGAAAAAATATAATAAATATATACACTATATTGCCAAAAGTATCCAAATCATGTGATTCAGGTGTTCCAATCCCCTCCATGGCCACAAGTGTATAAATCCAAGCACCTAGGCATGCAGACTACTTCTACAAACATTTGTGAAAAATAAAAATGGATGCTCCCAACACAGGGTGGCTACTGTGTGGGAATAATCAGTGCGCAGAAGTCGCCAACTGTTTGCAGAGTCAATAGCTAAAGACCTCCAAACTTGGTGTGGCCTTCAGATTAGCACAACAACAGTGTGTAGAGAGCTCCATGGAATGGGTTTCCATGGCCGAGCAGCTGCATCCAAGCCTTACATCACCAAGTACAATGCAAAGCGTTGGATGCCATGGCGTAAAGCACGCCGCCACTGGACTGGAGACGTGTTCTCTGGAGTGACCAATCACGCTTCTCTGTCTGGAAATCCGATGGACGTGTCTGGGTTTGGCAGTTGCCAAGAGAATGGTACTTGCCTGACTGCAATTTGCCAAGTGCAGGGGCGGACTGGCAACTCATGGGGCCCCCGGGCAATAGGGGATCATGGGGCCCCTGTGTCCTTGCCCACACTCAAAGCACACCCAAAAAAGCCTATAAAAGGTACCAGGGCATTTCATGGGGCCCCCTACTGACTCTGGGCCCTCGGGCAGTGCCCGAGTGCTCGAATGGTCAGTCCGCCCCTGGCCAAGTGTAAAGTTTGGTGGAGGGGGATTATGGTGTAGGGGAGCTTTTCAGGAGTTGGACTAGGCCCCCTAGTTCCAGTGAAGGGAACTCTTAAGGCGTCAGCATACCAAGACATTTTGGACAATTTCATGCTCCCAACTTTGTGGACAGAGTTTGGAGATGGCCCCTTCCTGTTCCAACAT